TTCAAAATTTCGCTGTGATTTAGATTCATATTAGTTTTTAAAGATTTAACACATATTGGTGTATTTTCGAACAGCTAGGTGACAAAATTACAAATGCCTAAAGATGCTTCAAAATGGCAATATTGATAGAATTTGGCAAAATTTGCGTAATTATTCAAACAATAAATAGAAAGAACATTGTTGAGAAATAAAAATATTGTTGGAAGTAGTTCTATATATTATCTTTCAGGTAAAAATTAATTCGTTTTGGTTAAAGATGTTATTCGTCGCAAAATTTGTCAAAAACATGAAAAATTTGCAATATTGTCTTCAAAACCAATATTAAGCACTATAAATAAAATATGTTAATAGTATGGAAATACGTACAATTGTTGCATCTTTTTTTAAGAATATAAAACATACCCACGATACTAAAATTCCAGTAGGTTTTAACAACTTTTTGATGTTCACTCTGTGAGTGAAACAAATACAGGGAAAATTGGCCCTTCTTATTTAGATATAGGTATAAAAAAATATTTCATAATGATTGATGTTATTTGAAATCTGAGACACGGTTTTAAAGACAACACTGTAACGTATACCAAAATCAATATAACGAATTTATAATATTCTTTTTCCGGTATAAGGAAACTTAAACTCTAGTTTGAAAAATATAAATAATACATTACAAGTGCATTATATGTACACGTTTATATGTAAGTACTCTATTACGTAACTTCTTTCTCTAATGCGTGAAAAATGTATTTCATTATTTAACAATTTTTAGGAGTAGAAAAAAGGGAGAGTTCCTTTTGCGCCACTAATCATTTGCGCCAATTTTGCGTTTGCGCTACTTTTTTTTCAAAATCCCTAGTATCATTTGCACCAAAAATAAAGTGTACAATTCCGCCATTTTTTTAGAAGAAAAATAATGACTCCCCGCTTCCCTGGTCCTACTTTTTGTTCGTTAATAGTGCGTCTCGTAGTTGATGAAGTTTCAGTCCATGCGAATGGTGGAAACAAAGAATTGTCATCAACACAATTGGAAAACACATAATCCACAAAAGCTTCTACTTTCTAGTCACTTGGCATATCTTGTACCAAATCCACAATAAAAACAGTTGAGATAGGCTAATCCAAAACAATTCAGAAATCTTTTTCTTACATCACTGCCACTTTTCCAGTACTGTTTTAAATTTCATAGATTTTGCATTTTACGCAACCACGCCCGACTAAGGTAAAAATGACATGCCTTGGTGATAAAAGTTTTGGGAAAATTATTTCACGGCGACATGCATTCTTTCTTCAAAATCACCTTAAATCTTTCTAAAATTTATTCTGAGATGCAATCATGTTCTATGCGACTCTGTAAAGCGTTTATTTTATGTTTCATGAAACATTAGCCTCCTTTAGTCCATAAATTAATCTTTTCCTGATGAAAGAAAATTCAGAAAATCGCTTCGAACGCATGCATTTTATAAAGTGTTGTTTTCTTTTTTTACAGCACCGGGTCGATACTTTTGCTGATTGACTATCATTCCCCAATTGTATCATCATCTCAGTAGTCAGTAATTCGGTACTGGCATGATTTATAACAAACCTTTCTTAAATTGTCCGTTTATAAATTTTGAAATTATAAAGAAACCAAGGTTTCAACTTCCTCAGGCAAAGTTGAACTTAGTTGGATTTGGCTATTTTTTCGGGGAACTTTTTGGTCATATAGCTATTCAACTGTTTAGGTTCTTGTACATCCTTGGCTTTCAAGTATAAGTTTTTGAGCCGAAGGTAATTCTAGAAAAGCGCTTCGGACGCATGCAATTTTTAATGTGTTGTTTTTATTTTTTACGGCTTAACTAAGAAATCGATTTTGTATGGTAATTTGGAACAAACGAATTCCATATTTTGCCGCAAACAAATTTCGTATTTTGGCCCAATTTACAACTTTGAAAATTAATGTTTGGCTCAAATGGTCATCTTTGAAAATAGCAATGGGCGAAAAAAGAGCTGAAACCACAGAAAATTGATATTTTTTCCACTATGTAAATATGCCCAAACAGTCCTGGGACAAAACGAAATAATTTATCATTGTATTTCCAGTTTTCCAAATTCTCCGAATTGTTTTTTAAGTTCCAAAAACAATATTTTCTACTTTTTTTCTTGTTCCTCGTTGTCGGTACATATTTAATGTTCTTGTTCTTATGTTCACAACCAGTTTACATATTTTCTTTAAAATAAAAATTCAAAATATTATTTTATCTATTACATATCATTTACATACTTAAAGCATAGTTTTTTCCATGATTGCCGTAAGGATTTTTATTGTGTTAATCATTTAATCCTCAAATAAACCAGAAAACAAAAGTTATTAACACCTTCAGGAGTTTTTATTATTTTATCTTAATTCCTTTTAAGCACTGATAAAACTGATACCACTATTTTGAATGATACTGAGCGGGAGAAAAATTAACAAATAGTGAAAATAGTTTTAAAACAAGTCTCTTCTGAAATTTAAGTCCAATCAAAATTAGTTCTGCATTTCAACGGTACCATCGAAACGTACAAGTTTTTACTAAATGATAATACTAGAAAGAAAAAAAATGTACTACATGGTTTCAAGACCTGCCTTTGATAGATCATTTCTTCTGACCATTTACAGATTAATTTTTTCCTTTTTACTCGTCGTCATTTAATATATGCACGAATGACAATTTTGCTTTTATAGAATAATATTCATATTTAAAGGACATAAAAAAAAACGTTAGACTATGTAGGAATGAAATGCATGACAAGTATGGTAATCGTCTATTGAAAAAACAAAACAAATGAAGAATATAACATAATAAAGTTAGTTTGCTGCTTATGCCATACTTTCATTTTTAAAAACTTTTCCATGTACAAAACCTCTAAACAAAAAACCCACTCATTGTCCTTTTTTTTGTTGTTTATTTGGGAACATGTATATTGAATAATATCAATCATTTTCCAACACATTTACTGTTAAAAATGTCGTTATTAATTTTTTTCCGAACCATATTCGCGTTAAGTAACTTTTAAAATAAAATGCGTGAAATATAGCATAGCGCTGACGCAATGATTCTACTTACTGATAAACAATATTTTATTTCCATTTTTACTTACACAAGTTTATTTCTATATCCTTTTTTTTTACCGAAACGAAATGTCTTTGCTTAAATAACGCGGAATTCACTCAGTAATAGGATAATTCGAAATATTTTAACAAATTTTGGAATATTGAGTATAATCCATCTGAAATATGAACGTTGATTGTTTATTAAAAGTTGTGACTCAATATGGCAATGTTTGACAACAATTTATCATGCATTTTATGACATTTATATAATTTATAGTCTAGGATTTGTAGCTGTCAAAATGGTGTTTTATCTCGTCCGTCATTCTGTCAGACCTAACGGTCTGAATTTCAGAAAATACTACTATATCACAGGGCTATATATATTCAATTTAAAAAAAAATGTTTTGTCGAAAGAAATTTTATTCGGGCAGTTTCAGTCTCCTTTATCCAATGAAATGCATTGACTATTTGAGAATAAAAATATTAATTTGCCCGTGCATGCAAGTCCATTAAAATAAAAGATGAGAGAAAAATAAGATTTTATCATGCATATTTCACAGTTTAAATTAAATCTGCATCGTTCAGCTTTATAACTTTTTTTATTGTGTCGTCGGGTTGCTGTCTCGTTGGGCTAAAACCCACAACTGCTTTCACTCATATTCAGGATGCATATTATGTTCTTAAACGCATGCTTGGAGAAGCAGAGTAACTAGGACAAGACCATGCAAGCAATTGTAACATAATGATGTATATTTACAATAAACATGTAAAAATAAACAAAATCGTGTATTATTATCAGGTTTTATGAATAGGAATGAGTCTGATTTTATGTGGATTCCCTTTTTTGTTTTATTTCTACAAAATTTTCCAATTCTACATTGTTGATTTTTTTTTACTCAATTTTTTGTCCATTTAAATTATTAACAAAAACATGGAATTTTCAAATCTGTCACCATCATGCAGATTGTATCACCTGCTAATCCTAACTCCTTGAGAAAAGAAACTAAAAACACAAAAAATCCTGGGTTAAGCATATCATATGCCTTATGTTTTTTTATGTCAATCATCTGGGACTAATAGATAAATTCAATGTATGAGTCCCAGCAATTAGGGGGATTTTAACCCTTGACAAGAATTTATTCAGTGTTTCGGTCTTTTTTTAGACCTAAACGCCAAAATGAATGTCATATAAACTTATGATACACACGCCAATACAAGTCCATAAACTGTTTTTTTTCTCTCTCACAAAAACCAAGCCTATTCAATCTAATTAACTTATTTGTTGAAATGAAAATAAACTTTCCCCAGTACTTAACAAGATTATACATATTTACAACCAGTTTCCTCTTTCAATTATACCAGATAGTAATTATGATATTGCAAAATTAGAGTAATTATAAATACAAAAACATAATACATTTTATCTGATATCAAATATTCTATGTTTTAAGAGATTAAAGGCTGAAAATGTCAAAATATTTTTTTTCATTATAACAATATTTTGAACATATTTACAACAATACCAGTATATGCCAAAGGATATTTTATTGTCGACATCATATTTTACTATGTTCAAAGTCATTAAATCTCTGTTAGGCAACGGCATATCATTCCTTTATCTGATACTTGCATATTTAATGCCAAAGGCAGAAAAAGGGTTGAAATACTTGTTTTTCATATAATTTTCATAATTTTTGTATCAGTTCATCTTAATTTTATCCAATCAGAAGCGTTGATCTTGTTTTGTGAATTTGAATTTATAGCACGTGTTGGTTAATTAACCGTTATGAATATTCTGATATAAAACACGATATCTTTATTAAGACTTCATTAGCTTTTTCTGTTTTGGATATTGATGATCATCTGGGAATAAATAGTCATATAGAAATATAATTTAGACATTTATTTTGGTATTTGGATATATTGTGAAATGTCTTTCAATAAGGAAAGTCCGAACCATGCATCATCAAATATTTTATCACATCACTTGGTAAGTAAATAAGCTGTTGTGAAAGAAAACATGAACAATATTTGTTATTTGTTAAAATTGTTTAAAAAAAACGTTTTTCCTCTAATTTTCATTCTTAATTGTTACTTAGAGGAACAAGGAAAATACAAAATTTTCAATTACAAAACAAGAATATATATTTGATTTTGATTAATTTTCTTATATGGGTTTAAAATCAAGTTATTCTTTCAAGTCTACACAACATTTCTCATATGTAGATTTATCAAAATGAACAGTTTATCAATTTATTTATTTTTTGACTAGGATTTTGGAGAACAATATATTGTCCACGAGTATAAATATTAAATTCTATGTATGTTTATTTTTTTTTTAACTTCTCTGTTACCTTTGTACTTGGATGTTTTTTTTATGAGAATAATGTATCTTTATCTATTTATTTTTCTAGGTATGTGGAGAACCGTATTGTCCACGGGTTGCCGATCCTCTGACAAACAGAGTTGTCTGCCGTTGTTACCAGACCAGTACAACACAAAGTCACACAGCGATGCCACCAAACTTTACTGCTGCTCTTTTCCACACACCACTCCATGGAGATATTCCTTCTCCAGTATCAAGTCCAATGGTAAGTTTTATCATTGCTATTATTTTATCATCAATATCATTATTGTTAAATTTTGTTATTTTGTATCATTTATGTATGTTTGAAACACATTTTCAACACATTAAGTGAATTTGAAAATGAAAAAAAAGTATCTAACAATTAAGAAAGATGTTACAAACAGCTTAACAATATCATTCAAAGTGAATATATTGTTATTTCGGTATTGAAAAGACGTTTGATCATCAAATTTCTATCCGTTACATTGTTTGAGATATTCTGTTATAAATATTCAATTGAAAAAAAAAAGTTTTTGGAAAACAAAAAGAAATGTAAATTAATCTTGTTATTACTTTGTTTACAGCACCCGAATCCTGCACTCAGGTGGGATAATCCTGGATTAACATCAATAGGATTTGGATCTCCATTTCCTACACTGTCACCAGCACACCATAACATCGACAATATACTTAGATCACAAATGTATAGTTACATGTAAGTACATAGTCAATTACAATTTTTATTTACTTTCACTTTTTTTTTAATTCATTTCTACAGAAGTTCTTTGCCTTTGTATCTATTTGGTTTTTTTTTAAATTTTATATTCATTTTTGAAGTTTCTTAATTTTCTGGGATTTTTTTTTTGCTATTGATACACACGTTATGTTTTCTGCTACAAGAACATGCTATCTTAGTTCAAGATTACGTATAAACTTAATCATTTAATATCATAAATATTCGTCCTCCAATCGAATTTACGTGCCTTATGAAATAAAAAATAATTATTCTTTATTATATCATGTAGACAAACAACAACATCGAAACAAAACAATGACAAAAACCAAAACTTCAACAAAATTCGGCCTCTTGTATATAATTAAATCTTATAAATAGTAGTTGAAGAAATTTTCTGGATTAGTCTTCACATGGAACACTGAAAATAAATTGTTGAAAGTCGAAGAACAGTACAAAACCATTTGGAACAACAAAATAAAAAAAAAAATCTTTACAGAGGGCATTGGCTGATCATTAAAAAACCTGCTTTGTTCAACTTTGCCTGATCATTGGAGTTGAAACCTTAATTCTAATCGAATTTTTAAAATAAATAATTTGATGATCATTTCTGAAAAACATTTCGTGGTATATATATTTATATAATAATTTTCAAACCATATTCTAGGCATTCTGGCATTGACCCAAATAACGGAAGAAGAAAAAATGCCACAAGGGAAACAACTGCTGCTCTTAAGGCGTGGTTGAAGGAACATAAGAAAAACCCTTACCCAACCAAGGCAGAAAAGATTATGTTAGCAATTATCACAAGAATGACTCTTACACAAGTTTCAACATGGTTTGCAAATGCAAGGAGGAGACTCAAGAAAGAACACAAAGGGGAATTTTCGTCAGATATCAGTTTTGATAACATCAGTATGTCAAGTGATGACGAGGAAGGCACAAAACCTGAGACAATGGGTACAGGAGAAAGGAATTTTATTGATAATGGTAAATACCCACAAATTTATCCCCACGTCGTATTCAAAAATTCAAAATTCAAATTTAAAACTTTATTTGAATATAAATCTGACAACTAATATGATTTGTGACAAAATAAATAATCATATACAAATGATAAGAAGAAACCATACAATATACAATTAAACAAATTTATTAGTTACATAATAATATAGTTTAACATAAGGAACAGCCATCAAGAATAGTCATAATTTTGTTAATTTACTTTAATAAAACAAATTATATATATAGTTCGCGGCTTCGACGTTTTGTCAATTATATCATTTGTTGTTCCAATACATTTGTATTCTCTTATAACAAAAATGTTTATGTCATTTTTAACAGTTCATCTTACAAATACATAATTATAGTTCTTTATTTTTTTTCTCAGGAAATGCAACGTTAGAACATGAACTTCCTGGATATAGTGGCATGACGAAAGACGATATCTACAGCTATGCCTCGTTTTCATTTCATACTAGTCGGCCGCTTACGTCAACCCCAATTGATCACAATATGAACAATTTACCAGAATATCCAAAAGGAGACAAAAAGACTGAATTTATGAACAATAATGACACCAATTCTGACGAAAGTGAGGACAACGATAGTATTCAAGATAAGGAATTGAAAACATGCGATACATCAAATGATGATACATGTAGTACATCGGCTTCAAATAGTTTTGACAGTGAAACTAAAAGTGTGCCTGACAGACCAAAATTCTTACCTCCACTTATAAGCAAACCTAAAATCTGGTCTATATCTAATATCATTGGATGAACAAAGAACAATAATGAACGCAAGGAAAATTAGAGGAACTCGAGTTTCAATCTATTAAGTGCTATATGTGTATTTGTCAGTGACTGTCTCGATTATGAATAAATGTATACTATGATAGCGTACTAATGCTTTAAAATATAAATTTGGTCATTATTAAATTTAGTGTTTATAATAAAACTTGTTTTTCGTCTTACACGTCTAGATGGTGCCTGTTTCAGGTTTTAATTAAATCTTTGTCAAAGGTTTAATATCTGCAACATCACTGATGATTAATTTGTTGGTACTTATTTTCCTTAGAGGTGTAAAAGTATTGGAAATCAACACTATCGTACCTACATTTTTCATCGGAGTTTGATGAAATTTATGTCAGTTTTTTGCATCAGATATATATTGAACAAATACGGAACTCATCGCCGATCAAATATTTATTTGGAGTAAGCCCTTGAAAATGCCAAAAAAAATGGATTATCGATAATATGAGGGCGCTATCGCGCCAATATTTCCCATTGAAGCTCAAAGAAATTTATGACATAACTATACATCAGCAATATCTTGGATTAATTCGAAAATCGACGATGATCGAATGTTGTTTGGAGAGTAATGCCCTGTGAAATATAGATTATAATGCATTCGAAATTGCAGGTGCTTTCGCGTATGTATTTCTCATTAGACTAATGAGAATGAGCAACGGTTTACATCAGCATTATCTCGAAAGAATTGGAAAATCATGGGGGATCGGTTATTTTTACGGGAGTTATACCCCTTGGAAAAGTGATATGGAAAATATCAGTAAATAGGACATTGGCTACCTTGTTACTTTGTGACTGTTGACCCACCGGTGTCATAATCTTTTCGAAAAACAATTTCTTCCCTCTAATAACATAGCAGCGGTTACTTAAAATAGGATTTTATCAGTTTTAAAAGAACATCTAGCTGTTTTATAAGTAATTACAGGTGACATGCAAGATTCGTTTCAGTTGATATCTGGCCACTGTATTCATTTCATTACAACTACAATTTTTTACTCCTTTGTCAGCTCTCTATCAAATATTGAGCTTATATTTCTTATTAAATTGTAAATAAAATGAGATCACATAAGATTTTTGGAGAGTTATTTTCAGGATACATTTTAGACATAATTAAAGCCAATTGGCCGTATCATAATTATATAAACACCATCTTTTTACTCCGATTTAAGTCTTTCTTTGAAAAATTGTGCCAATGTTTGGTGTTGAATTTTGCAATGTTTGATTACAGACCTGATATAGGATGAATTGACTGTTTATTGCTTAACATCCAGTTGCAAATGTTTTAGATCTTATATGAGTTTGGTTCTAGTTTGGATATTTTTTTTATCTTCACTACATATCTTGGACTTATATAATTTTAGGAACATATCGGTGTTATTCTCCGTTAACGATCTGCGTCTATTTTCACAAAAAATCTTACGATCAATTTTCAATCGTAACTTATACTGAATTGTCATTTTACTCGTAAGTTTTTTTTTGTGAAAAGAGTCGCTGATGTGAAATTTCTGTTTGCGAATTAACGTGCAGAGGCAGATTTTTTACACATATTGATGTGATTGTGTAATGAGAAGTAAAAACCAAATACCATTTGAAATATACAAATTTATTTTCGTCCTAGTCGAGTTCCAGGTGAACCGTTGAGACAGACATACATACAATCTCCAGTGATTTTACATGTAAAAGCAAATATATTTTAAATAGAAATTGTACGGAAGCCGGTTAGTGTCAGGGTAGAGTTTAATTTTTAAGTCGTTATAACGACTTAGCTAACTTGTTATAACGAGATAGATAAGTTGTTTAAACGAGTTAGCTAAGTTGTTATAACGAGATAGATTAGCTAAGTTGTTATAATAAGTTAGCTAAGTTGTTTAATCAAGTTAGCTAAATCGTTTAAACGAGTTAGCTAAGTCGTTAAAACAAGTTAGCTAAATTGTTATAACGAGATAGATATGCTAAGTCGTTATAACAACTTAGCTAAGTTGTTATAACAAGTTAGCTAAGTCGTTATAACGACTTAAAAATAAAACTCTACCCTGACACTAACCGGCTTCCGTACAATTGAAGTGACTACGTATATATATACCTTATCACGAAAACTTAGCTTTGATCTCTGAAACATGAAAATATGATAATGGTCAGGTGTCCCCGGTCATACAGATATGAATACGCCTTGCATTGCATATATGGATTACATATAGTCGAGAAAGTACTCACAATTACTGAAACTTTCACAAAAATACCAAATGTATTCAGTCTTTTGAACTATGAAAATGAGGTCAATATAAGTACCGGTAATGAAAAACAATGTTCTACCATGGAATACCTCTCAATGGATTGTAATATTTGCACTGAGTTCTAATTAAAAAAAGATGCTAGAGGGGCAATTAAAAACCGCAAATCTAAAGAAAAAAAACCCAAACAACACCATGGTTAAATGAAAAAAAACACAAAACAAAGACAAAGACAAATTACAGTCAACAAAACACAACACATAAATCTACTTCAACACGAATTACATCAAAACCCGGGAATGAACTCATGTGCTCAGGAACAGTTCGTGCTCCGCTAGCAGCACCGTCGTGCTGCTCATGTCATGCATAAGTCTAATGACAAGTTGCATTCGATAAATAAAGATAGATAAAAGGTATAACCAAACATTTAAGCACAGTGCAACAGACCACAACCAAACAACACCTGACACCTGACTTCTATGACATACAAGCAACATCGAACAATATATGATCCAGAGAGACTGACTTAAGTGTATTATCCCATACTATCCTTAATTTTTGTGCCGCAGTTGCAGTGAGTTAATTATTTAATTATAAATCAACCACCTCTATTTGACAATCTTTGAAAAACTAGTAGTCCAAATCATATATTTAAAGTCTTATGAAACGAGTTTCTGGTAATTATAATGTATGGGAAATTGTTTAACAAATGCATACTGGCACTTTCCGATTTGTGATATGTCAAAGTAAAGTGGTAACTGCCTTGTGAGCATAACATAATTTATGTTGCAATTAATTTGAGGTTAGACCAATTTTTAGCTAGAATGACTGGTTTTGATCATATGTTTTTATTCAGTCTGATTAAAATACAAATCATGTGTCCATGCTTCGCTTACAAGGATCTGAAAACGCTCCATTCTACTTTCTGTTTTAACGACCTTTCGGGATATCGACTTTTGTCGTAATGATACACACCTTCAAAAGTTTTTTAGGCAACCATTTCATTGGTTCATATAGAAATAAACAGAACAGAATGTAGGACAGAGTGTTGTCAGATCCTTGTAAGCGAAGATCAGTATTTTAATCAGATTGGTATTTATTTTGCTTTTTTCAATATGAAAATTACATTTTTAGGAAAATACTTACCATTATATATTTACAAGATGAACATATCACTTACTGTTTTCATTATCGAATCCAGTTAAAAAATGCGTATAATTAGACTCTATATGTAAGGGAAAGAGTTTCATTGTCATTGAGCAGAAGGGGAATATAGGCTAAAACAATGGTATACAGACATAACAAGAATTATGATAAATATATAAACACAAAGTTGCAAGTTTATATTTGATGTTACAATACAAAGAAAACAATAATTAAAAGATGAAGAATGATATACAATACAAATTACAAATAACAGTATATATTAAAAGTTAGCAGTAAAGGAAAGGCGAAAGATAACAAAGGAATATTCAAACTAGTCGAAAACAAACTGGCAAAGCAATGGCAAAAAGAGAAAAACGACTAAAAGACAAACAATAGTTAATAAAACACAACATAGAAAACTAAAGACTAAGCAATACGAACTCCACCAAATACCGGGATGATCTCAGGTGATCCGGAAGGGTAAAATCCTGCTCCACTCGTGGCACCTGACGTGTTGCTTAAGTAAGTACATACCCGGTGATAAGTCGAATTCGGTAAGTCACATTCGAGGAAAAGAGGACGGGATTGTGGTTACGACGATTGGAACATATCCGTCGTCATCTGTGAAACAGAGATTCCATAACGGTCAACCAATTCGTGATGGCGTCTATAAAATTTTCGAAAGGACAATTTCAACTTCACCACTCGGAACTCTTGGTGTAATAGATTCCTTGTAAACAGCAACCCTCTATCAAGGAAATCATGATAAGAAATGCAAGCTCTGGAATATCGTATCAACTGGGAGATATATATTTCTTATGCATGCGCTGCTGTAATGTTGCTAAATAGGAATGGAAAGTTCACAATTTGGGAGCTTAAATCATCTCTTGTGTTTTGTTGTCAACTGACCTTCATTGTCAATTTCTAGATGCAAGTCAATATATGAGGCAGACATAACTGTATCTGTTGTATCCTTTTTTCAAGTTCGATGGATAGATATGTTCAATATAGTCACCAAACTTTGAATTATTTAGTGAGAGGAAATCATCTGTTTAGCTGAACGTGAAGTTAAAGACTAATGATAGTTTCTTTTCATTTTTCCTGAGAAGCACTTGTATGAAGTCAGCCTCATACGAATAAAGAAACATGTCGACAAGAAGAGGAGCACAGTTGGTTCCCATGAGGATGACGACTGTTTGTTGAAAAAACGTCATCCAAACGTAACAAATATGTTGTCGATCAAGAAATCAAGAATCATGATAATGTCAGTTTCAGGGAAAGAGTTAGAATCAGAGTGATTTTTTACAAAGTACGATTTATCCTTCCATAAGACTTGTATCTACGTTGGTCATTCTTTTTTAAGAAGCAAATCCGGACTAATTAATTCTTTCGATTTGTCTTTTAGTTTGAAATGGGAAATACTTGTGTAAATGGTAGACATACTCTAACAAATCTTTGGAATTTGAAAGTATCCACTTATGATTCACGCCGACCCTAGAGTAAGTAGTTTAACAATAACTTTGAAGCCCGGCTTTGATTGCTGATAAAATTGATATTGATAATTTTAAAAGAGGTTTCATAGTCTAGAGCATTTGGAAGACACAGCTATATAACGTTGTTTGTAAGAACACTTATGTAATTTCGGTATCTAATACAGTGAAGGAAGATCTAGTTCTATATTTTTGGTTGAAATTCCAAAAGTTCAT